CAAACGCCATTTCAAAATATACATCAATTCTTAAATCTCCGACATCCATAATCCGTCTACTATAGTTTGCCGAATTATCATTTCAAGTTCTTACTAAAGATCTTACAAAATAAATCCGTCTCTGTGCAAGAGTTCACGATATTTTCTACGCAAACAAAGCTACACGAGCAATGGATATTACTTCGACTGTTATTGCTAGCATACATAACATGTTCTATTTGAAAAGCATGCACGATATTCTAGACTACATATTATGTAAGTTTAAATAGATGTGGTTCTAAATTCTTCATACTTGGCTAAATGTATTTAAGAAGTTGAAATGGTCGCTTAAGATGTACTACGTCAGAAGTTTTGTGAAGTTAAACTAAAAATATTATTCTTGTACGTGTAATTGGGAAAATCACTTTTTTGGTCTGTTCATTGAAGTCAAATCAAGTCAAAATCATTTATTCCAACAAAACCATAAATCGGTACTTTTAGAACGTCTAAATAGAATACCTAATAATCTGCCAGTTGTGTTCGTCATTTAAGCTACATGCATATGTGCTCTTTCTAAAGTGTAGATCTGAATGGAGAAGAACGAAAAAATCTTCATAGCAAGAAACTCCATTGCTAAATTTTATTTGTTTTTATATTATCTTTCTATTATACCATATGATATACATAGGGTATATAGAGTAGGTATATAGGTACTATATTTATACTGTATTCGTTCATAGAAATAATTAATCTAATAAAATTCGTTCTTTAAATAAACTTACATAAGGTCAACGCCCGTCAGATTATCGCGTCAACAGTAAACAATAAAACAGTACCTAAGCTTTAACACCTGTACGGAAAGTTCAGGACAAATTGAAACAAACTAATTATTCTTCCCAATCGCCTTAGCACAACTTGTAATGGAATTATTTACGCAAGTCATTTAGATATTTTATCGGAAACAAAAGGGAACAATGGTAATGAAATATATGCTAAACTGTTTATAGAAACAAAAGAGGGCTGTGTTTTGGAAAATTCGTTTGAATACATAGCTTTAATTGGTCAAAAAATCTACAAGTTTAAATAAATGTATCTAAATATCTTTGTAGTATTTGTTCAAAATCAACTTATATATTTAGAAGATTTATACAATCAGTGTATATGATTTTTGCTTCATGATGAAAGTATATACTAATTGGAGACGTAAAAATCCGCAAATTTCTTTAAGAGTTTAATGTTACTAGTTTTAGTATGTCTGATGAGCGCAGTAGCACCGTACGCGCATTCCACGGTTTTTTTGTTTCATTATGGAAGTACATACTAAAAGGAATCCTTAATGTCTGCAAATGTCTCTAATGCTTCTAATGTTCGTTTTAAATGTATTATAAGTAAATTTTATTTTGGCCTTTTACCAACTAAACAAAATTTTTATTTCAGTTGTAAGTTATCCTAATGCTGTGGTGAGTCAAAGTAAAACCTCTACTTGGAGTTTCTTGCTCGTTGTTCTCCATTCTAATCTAAACGTGGCACGAGCACCTAGCTTCGGTGGCGAGTAGACAGATGGACTATTATTAAAAAAGTATTTTAACGTTTCAATGAAACTGTGAATTATTTACTTGGAATAAATGTTTTGTATTATGACTTTTTTATGAGGGGAAAATCATCAGGGATTTTTTGTGAGGGGAAAATCATCAAATGAATTGTCCCTCCCAAGGCGTGGTAAGACGGAGCGTCAGACTCTTACTGGCTAAAAATCCCCTTGTTCCTTCTCCTACTCTAGGTCGAGGCCGCGGTGCCTTATTACGCCTACCTCGCAATCCCGGCTAACAATTAAAAGTACCTTACTAATTTTTTCCTGTAAAAAACACTGTATAGAACATACAAATGCATAATTTCAAACTGTAACCTTGTTTTAAACACGTCAAAGTCAGCAAATATTATTATACTTGCACACAGTGGTATGTCGTCTGCAGTATTTACAACATTGACGCCATAAAATGAAATGAAACGAAGCTTTCCCGTGCAAGATCGCGTTTTATTCCACAAACTAAGGAGTCATAACCTCCCTTTTGACGTAGGTAAGCGATAGTTATATGTATGAACCTCTGTATGAAAATATTTTATGTCTTTCAGTCTTTGTTTGGTGACATTTAGTGATATTTACGTTTTGTAAGATTTTTGTATTTTATTATTTGTTCAACAAAAGTGCAGTTCGTTTCCCGCAAGAAACAACAATTTGTGTGATCCACAAATAATTGTTCCAGGTCTAGGTGTGATGTGTGTGTAAAATTAAAAAAAACATCCAAGTGTGGGGCAATCAAAAAATACATTGTTTAAGATATCAGAGACAATTTTTTACACTCACTCAGTACTCGCCTTTTCCAATAATACCCAAATATCAAACTACACCCCATATCAAACCTCAATATAAATCCCGGACATACAACGTCACGAGGCCCATCCTACCTAATTACTTAAACTATGGGCCTAATTAGTAGTAGTGGTCAAACAGTGTCCCATAATTATGAGCTCAAACAACATAGGGAAGCTTCTCGCATATCTCTCTATAACGATGGCTATTGTTAATGAGATAGGCCTACTAAACAACGGAGCGTTGAAGCGGTAAGTACTGACCACTGAATCGATAATATTGGGGTGATTCGTATTACGATTAATGTCCGACTATGAGTCCTTGACGACTAATCGAATTTGATTCTTTATTCGAATTGTTAAAAGTGAAATTCGAAACATAAATTTAGAACGGACTTCGGTATTGTGATGTCATGTTTTCCTGCGTCAAATTGCAAACTTATTTCTTAAAAATAAATTAGGAATATTAAATTTAATATAATAAATTTAATATGACTTAGTTTTATTATTAAAACTAAGTCAAATACTATTTCATACGTATTTTATCTGAATAATTACGCGTTGTATTGTCTCTGTCTTTTTTATTGGTTAAGGATTTATATGCCCCTTCTTATACTTTGAAGAATAGATTAAAAAATATATTTATCTATATTAGTGTAAGGCAGAGTTTATAAAAAAGTATCTCAATATTTCTGAATAACTTTAAGTCTAATGGCATAATCTTTGTATGTTCCATACATCTCCTCCATATTATTATAGGGAGTTATCTCATTGCCTGTTATTTAAATATTTAGCACAATTTAAGTTTATTTAAAGGTTTTTGAAGTAACATTCACAATTTTTTTCGGATTCCTTTAACTTATTTTATGTAATGGGTCGGCTAACGAGTAGACGGATTATCTGATGGGAAGCAATCGACACCGCCTTTGGACACCCGCAGCGGAACAACAGAGGAGTTACGAGTGCGTTGCCGACCTTTTGGGGATAAGGGATAGATTTATCTCCAAATAGTCCATAATAGTAAGGCTAAAACATGGAAAAGTTCAGTAATCAGTAACGTCAAAAAAATTCAATGAACACTTCATCGAAGAAAATAGCAACATTGTAAGTGCTATCAGTTCTCAGTGACATTATTACGAGTTCATTAGCTAAACTGGTCTTATGGCTTAGTCCAATGCGCCATAGATACTCAGCTAACACTAATTAAATAGTAAACAAGCTGTTCACATTTATATATATTACAAACATTGCCGTTGCGTGTTTATTCCTTCGTTTATTTATACTTCAATATGTTATGTCGTTAAATGTCTTCGAACTATAAAAACGTTATATAATTATATGTTTATATTTACATGGTAAAGACGGAATAGCTTACTTTGATTAAACACGGTTTTAAAGTGGTAGAATTAATAATATAATTGCACAACTTATTATGAATAAGCCATTGGCTACAGAGGATCAGCCTATCCATCCATATCCAGGGTAAGGCGAGAGGGAGTGTCAGACTCTTACTGACTAAAAACCCCCCCGTTCCTTCTCCTGCTCTGGGCCGAGGTCGCGGTGCCTCATTGCGCTTACCCCGCAGCCTTAAATATGATATGTAATCCAGTTGAGATCACGTATAAACGAAATAAAAGCTACAATTTGGCGTTGAGATTTTTGCGTTATATTGCACCTTTTCTGTGTTTATACTGAATGCCATCACAAAAAAAAAGAACGAGTAACCAAAAATTATAGAATCAATCGATTTCAAGCACTTCATGACCAGTAGTGTCTATATTGGTCAGAATAATCCTTAATTTTAGAACGTTTTCCCAGCTCTATACAAAAGCTTCGTTCATTTTCTACTGAACTCAACAGTTCAGTCAATCTACTAGTTCTAGTTGCGCTTAATTCGAAGACTTAACTTCTCTGTGACTAGAAAACTATTAAAAATATATCTTAGTGAAAATGATTACTATATTTTTAATATTATTACAGTATTTAGAGACTCGTTAAGAGTGCGTTGAAAGTTCAAAGAACTCCTGTTTTACAATAAAGACAAAAAAATATTATCTTCTATAAAAAATGCGAAGTTCCTATCACCGACCTAATTGCTTAACAAAAGTTCAATAATCACAGTTGTTCAAAAATTCTAAAGCATCGCCGAATTCCCCTGGTGACTTTTAGAACTTTGATAATGTCTCCGTCTAATTAGCTACCAAGTTTTTCAGGTCACGTACTTACCAGACACACCTACTTACGTTACTTAACCTAGCGGAATTGTAATGTATATTTTATACTCATAGACATACGTCATAATATTTATTGTAGTATCCTAATTTAGTATAGATACAATAGGTATTAAAGGTATAATAAAAAACACCGAAAGTGTTACACATGCTGGCAAGATTTATAATAGTGTCCATATTAATTTTCGCACAAGAATTACTGATTTTATAATCTTAATTTTTTGTCTTTAAAATTGATACATCAGTCGTATTACTCGTTAATAGGGTCGTAAACATAGTCCTGGTTAATCTTTCTTTTCTTTTTAAAAAAAGCAAAAATAAAGAAACTACTTACAATCTTATTTCGTTAAACTATTTTCTCAATAAAACACGTTTATTACTTTATTCCAATCTATTTACTGAAGTCATATTTCTTTGCAGGGCTGCCAACTGTAATCGGATTGGTGCGTGGAGTCCGCTCAGGTAGTACCAACATTTTAACTAACTGAGCCACGTCTCCTGAAGTTAGTCGGTTCGGCGAACACCAAGCTGAGACTAGCAACAGGTGTCTCTCATTTCTACTCGTATCATACTGCGAGGTGTTAAAATAAATGTTTATTATAAAGAGTCACGTTTAAAAAAATAAACCTTTTAGTTCTATTTTACTTTAGAGAGCTACTTTGAAATTCTCACAGAAAGAAATCTATTCATACAAAAAAATAATAATATGACAAATAATTTTTAAAATATTTATCATTCAATTAATGGCGGACACGAAAATTGGCGGTAAATGTCACCTGTCAAATTCACATCGCTCTCATAATGAGCCAATGTCCACCTGTCCTTATTAAAAAAAAACATTTACTTCACTTACATAGAAAGAGAAATATCAGAATGGTTCTTTAATATTTGTTCTACCTGCTTAAAGTGTAACTAACCAAGTAAACAGAACTCCAAGAAAAACAAACAAAGTGCGGTTTGATCTGGCGTTTCATACTAACGTATTGGTCTACAAAGTGCACCAGTATAAATGCTAAGTAAACTCCCTTTGACTGGTCCAAACATTGCAATGGATCATAGAAAAGCCGGTATTTCTCTCCAATTCCGTAGAAATATGGAACAATAACCATAAAAGGTTCTTTAGAACCGCAGAACTGCATTTGTAAGCATTTTATTTATTTTCATTGTTTGTTTAAGTCTGTAGTTTCCTCTACAATCTTCAATTACGCCTTAAAGCACTTCCCAGTGGCTGTATAAACATTGTTCCTTTGCTATTTACAAAGATTTATTTTCATGTTGAATAGAAAATAGTTTATAAATAATGACATCGCCGCGTCACTTGATATTTTCGCGGGAAACGCCATCTTTCTTACCGCGCTAATAGTTTCTCGTAAATAAAGTGAAGAGAAAATTAGATTAATTATCGTCTTTGTTGTTTTAAAATTAGATTGAAGATTATTAGCTACTGTGTTAGATATTTTGCTATTATTAGTGCAGTGAAGCAATTTATTTATTTATTTATTTATTATAGGCTTCTCAACAATGAGTACACTATACTATATAATTTGTACATTTCAAACTTAATTCTAAGTGCCCCATTACTTATAGAGAAGCACAGCATGCACTATAATATTATGCGCGGGTAGTAAAATAATTAATTGATTTTGAATAAATAATACATTATCAGAAAAGTTTAAATTGAAGCTGAATTGATTACAAAAAATAAAATCTGAATTAGATACTTAACACACAAAATTAAATTAAAATTAAGTAAAATAGATTAGATTTTAAAAATTAAATTAAATTAAATTTAATTTAAAACAATTAAATTTGACTAATTGATTAGAGGTACCCATTAGATAGCAAGCGTGGCTCTTTTAATAGCATGTACAGAAGAGGTGAACAAGTCAATATCCGCTTCGTGCTCTTTGTAAGCAGTATACATTCGTGATAGTGGACAGTGTTGTCTCAAATTGTGCAATAATTTTTCGTTCTAAGTAAATTTATCAAAACCTCTAATAAATGCAGACACTGTGAGGCACTCAAGTGGAAGGAAGAGACACAACAAAAAACGTTGAGGCTGTCCCCTGTAAGAGTAGTCTCATAGACATAAGGGACCAGGATTGAAAAAAAAATTATTTGATGCGGGCGAAGCCGTGGGCGGAAGCTAGTGTAATAATAATAAATTATATATTTATATATTTTAATGGTTACAACTTAAGAATCAAATTCGGAATGTTAAAAAAAATTCAATTCTTTTTTTTCTAACCTTAGCTCCTTTTGATTTGTTTTCGTTAGTTCCCGTGTATCAGATTTACTTCCTCATTTTATGTTTTTTTATGGTATAAGTCGGCACACGAGCAGACGGAATACCTGATGGTAAGCAATCGGCGCCGCCAATTGACACCCGCAACACCAAAGGAGTCACAAGTGCATTGCCGGTCTTTTAGGGATAGGGGATGCGCGAAGGGATAAGGAAAGGGGCGAGATGGGGCCTCCGGTAACCTCACTCATACGCCGAAACACAACGCTGTGGTTGTTTCACGCTGGTATTCTGTGAGGCCGTGGTATCAATCCGGTCGAGCCGACCCATTCGTGCCGAAGCTTGGCTCTTCCACACTTAGATGTAAATACTTTTTACCTTTACCAACACTTACAGTTACCAAACAAAACTTACGGATATCATTAGCAACATCTGTTCTTTAGACATCATGTTCCTTGACCAATCAATCAATTACTTGATTGATGACTGACCTCTTAGTTCTGATGTCAAGCAATCGATATCAATCAAACATCTAGATCGATTTGATCAATCAGTTATTAATGAGCTCAAATCGGTTCTTTGTAAGTCTCTGCAACATATTGTTACGAGAAAAGTAAGTTTTAGAAGTTGAAGATATGTAGATATCACTAAGAAACCCTTACTCGTATATTAAGAATATGTTGGAAGAAATAATCTTGTTTCATTGTTGGAATAAATTCCATTTGTTGTAGCTGACCTTTTTCCAACTGAACTGAGTTCTGCAGAAAGGACATATAACTCGTAAAAAACTATATTAGTCTGAATATCAAAAAGTAGTTATAGAAACAGTTTGAATGTGAGTTGATACCTAAAAAAAACTTTAAAATGAAATAGCATTCCATAATATGTAAATTGACTTTAGTATGTATGTTTTTAATCATGTCTAGTTCTATATCTAAGTAATATTTTTTTTTTATTATATTATAAAGCTGAAGAGTTTGTTTGATTGTTTGGACGTGCTAATCTCAGGAACTACTGGTTCGAATTGAAAAATTATTTTTGTGTATAATAGATCATTTATTGAGGAAAGCTTTAGGCTATAAAACATCACGCTACGGTATTTTGTAGCAGCCGAGTAGTTGGTGAAACCTGTAGCTAGTTAGAAATAAATAGAAACAATCACACAATTTATATTTTATCTTAATTCCTTTCCTCTCTGACGTCACTTTCATCTTCCTATTTCTCTCTCTCTCTCTAACTTTCTCCCTTTCTCTTTCTATTTTTCAGCAAGATACATATCTCTACTGATACATTTACAACAGATGTGTTCTGTGAAACCTAATATCAAACAATGTTAACTAAAATTTCTCTCCAGTCAAAAGCTCATCAAAGAAAACACAAAACATTTCAAAACAATGATCGTAAAGTTACCCAACGCAGTTAGTTCATTGTCTGTTAATAAAGTTAATATCTACTTTGATGTGTTGTTAGTAAAGTTAAACAAACTTCATATTGTGAATCCCCAGTTCCCTTTGGCTAACCTGCAAGTAATTATACTGTCTGAGCTTATCAGATAACGTTTCTCTAGGCAACTAGCTAAGGTGGATTCATATACAATTCCAGGATATTCCATATACGTTATATGTATGATGGAGGTTGAACTTTAATTAAACATTTTGTGTACTGGAGAATAGTTTAAGACTAATTGGATAAAAACTTTTAATGAATAGCCATGCTTTAACAATGGACAGCGTGGAAACATCGGAATTATTTCCTAAAAGTGCGTTGCGTAGGTAAGGCGTCGCCTAGTAATAGATACATATTCCTATTGCTTATACTAAGTTTGTTTGTGGTTTTAGTTCTATGTTTAAATTGTTTTTATTGCATCTGGTCGTTTTATCTTGTTCGACTTATCTTGTAAGTACTTCTGAAGAATCCCACAGGAAGAAATTATAAACGGAATATCCAGTACCAATAATTATATATCCGGGATTGCGGGGCAAGTGCAATAAGGCACCACGCCCTCGGCCTGGAGCAGAAGAAAAACCGGAGTCTCTTAGTGACTACCGGTATGGTAGGTAGTAGTAGAAATTTGATGATTTTCCCCTCAAAAAAAAGTTCTTGCATATAATATGTATTATACCTTTCTCTTTATTTATTATATTGTCTAGTAGGTACATGAATGATTAAGTAAATAACTAAGTACATATTCAGTGTAACTAAAAAAGTAATATAAACGTTAGAACTTTGTGTGTATACAATCTCATTAGTACTAAACTTGACTGTTTCCCTCATAACAGTAACCTCAATGCGTCGTATGCTGACAATGTTGGTCCCAGCCATACTGCGGTCTCATAACACTCACTTATAATTTCTAGGACGAAACTAATGTGGTTCTGGATAGAAATAGGGTTTCCGCCAGTCTTGTATTAAGTAATCTATATTAATATTATAAAGAGGTAAAATTTGTAAGTTTATAAGTTTGTACGTAGGGGGTAATCTTTGAAACTGCTGGTCGGATTGCCAAAATCCTATCACTGATAGATAGCTACAATGTTCCTGCCTATAGCACATAGGCTATAAAACATCACGCTACGATTAAATGGAGCCAAGCAGCGGGTGAAACCGCGCGAGAATAGCTAGTAAATAACACAACAACTAATACAGATAGCTTTTACTGCTATGGAAACGTAAGCCAAGCAAAAAATCACTATATTTTTGTGTGGGATAAGCCCTGCCAAAATCGCTGCAACTTTTGCAAGCCAGGATCTACAGCAGTTATGAAGTGTGAGTGATCTAATGTACATTTGTGTTGTATATGAAAAATCAAGAATCGCTATTTATTCTTAAAAATCGCTTCATTTTTACACACACACAAATTTTTGTGTTGTTTAAGCACTTTCTTTATATATTTATTTTAGTTCCTAAGCTAACATTGTTGTTTTAGTTTGTTGTTTACCTTTTTTTTATTGTAATTATTGTACATATCTTTGTTTTTTTTCCCTAATTGTTCATGCCCAATAAATTATTTTTCTTTCTTTCTTTCTTTTTTCTTTATATTGCTGTAAGACTTTTTTCTTCAATAGTCTGGGCCTTTGACTATCCACTCTTAGAATAAAAGCATTTTCAACGTAAGAGCAGTTGACCTTAATCTCTATACTCGACAGATTGGTTGGAGATTGCAGAAATGATTGCACAATAAACTGCCTATAATCAGGTTACTTCAATATTTCCATCCAAA